CCAAAACGGACGGAAAACATTGCAAAAAATGGCTAAAATTACTCGGTCAGCTATTCTCATTAGAATTTTTGAAATTCACACGTTAAACGCTTCAAAATGAGTATGAACACGACTATGTTCCTTTAAACTTGAAATTCGACATTAAAGGCGCATAGGGGGTCCAAAAAAGGAAAGTAGGTCATGATTATATACATTTTTAAAGTCTTAGCCTGAAAATCTTAAAAATCAAATGTGACACTGATCTAGCTCAACTGCCGAATAAACGGATCAAAAACGGACCACCAGCGGACCAAAAACGGGTCAAAAACTGGAGGACTCATAACTTTTTTCAGGATCATTATTTTTGAACGAACTAAAATGGATATGATAGAAAAACTCAAAAACTACAAAATGATATAAGGATAAATACTGTAGCTAGTCTATAAACAAAGTTATAAATTAATTGAAAGATGCTACCGTATATCCTATATTAGAAGTCCGTCCAAAAAAATCAACTTTAAGCGCAATTATCTCAGCTCCTATGAAAGGTACTAAAAATCTGTTAACTGATAAAATGTGTATCATGATATCACTAGCATTTTTGTAGTTTGAACATTTTTGACATCATTTCTAGGAACCGAGATAATTGAGCTTAAGCCACAAACCTAGGTTTCCTTAGAACAATTTTGGGTTCTGGTGCTTTAAAGGCACATAGTGAAAAAAACCTGCTTATTTTCTAAACGGATATAGAGAAAATTGATTTTTTTAAAATTTTTTTTTAAATCAAGTCATCCATTTCCCAAAGCAGCTGGACAGTAGTACCAGTAGTAGTGGTAGTACATAACCCTTGAAATACAAACATACCCCATGTCTATTTGCTCACTTATCCTTAACCCTCTATCCCTATCCTATAGGGTCCTTCATGGATCAATAATTCCCCATCATATTACAGCTAATTGGGGGGGGGGGGTGGAAATTGGAGGATACGGGTCCAGAGGGTGTCATTATTTGGAAATAAGGGCAACCGTAGGAATTTATACTAGTTCAGAATCAAACATGCAAACGGGGAGCCAAAACGGATGAAAAACGGGAATACTCATCACTTTTTTACGAGACATAGTTTTTGGACCAACTAAAATGGATACGATAGAAGAACTTAGGAGCTACAAAAAAAATACATATTTGGATATTGTTGGGAAGATTTAGAGACAGTAGGAAACCCTTGTACAACTTGCTCGGCTGAAGAGATAGAGAAAGGAGAGACAGAACAGGTAAAGAAGGGAAATACAGTAAGTACTAAGATGTAGGTGCTAAGATAGCCTAGAGTCATGGGAAAGGCAATTTTATTAGTAAACCTAAAAGTGAAAAAAATGTTAGCGCCTCAAATTTTCAATCTAAATTATCTCGACTTCTAAAAATCCGTTTCTAAAACTGAAAACACTGTTTTGAAGCTTAGAAATTCAGTTTTTCATTAATATGAACATTGTTGATAGAACACAAAAAGGGATACTCAAAAATCTGACAAAAATATTAGCGTCTCCAACTTTCAATTTTAATTATATCTCGAATTCTAAAAAAACCGTTTCAAAATCTAAAATGTGTTCGGGAAAGCTCTTGAACATGATCAACGTTCAGCAAAAAAATTTTGGGACAATTTGAATCAATGACTTGGTAATTTTCAGAAAGCTGATTTTCAGAGCTTTCCAGAACAATTTTTAATTTTCGAAACGGACTTCTAGAATTCCAGATACAAGACTTTGAAGGTTAGAGACGCTAATTTTTTTTCTGTTTTTTGGGTATCCTCTAGTTTTTGGGATGTTTTGATTGGAATATTCTGTAGAGCATAAACCAATTTTATATGACTGAAAAGCTGAATTTTCATGCTTCTCAGAACTATTTTCAGCGTTTGAAACAGAATTTTAAAACTTGAGATACAAGAGGTTGAAACTAAAAAATTCGATTTTTGGTTTAAAAATGTAAAAGCTATGAATTAAGAAGTTGAAATCAAGAAGTCAATGTTGAAAATCAAAAAAACCGTCCCAAGCTACACGGACTTAAAAAATGAGGCAAGCTTAACAAGCTGTAAGTAATATGGCTACAAAAAAACCAGGCAATAATTTTACGATGTGTCAGACACACTCCATTACAAGGCCAATAAATTATAAATCGACTAGTAGTCACTTGCCAGAAAGGTCCCCCCCGAAAAATCGGAGGAAAAGAAATAGTGTGGTGATAGGAGAGAGTGGAGAGACAGAGAAGACAACGGACAAAGGTCAGCAATGGTGTGGTGTGTCCGTTTTGTATTAAGAAGGGACCCCTATGCGAGGGAGGGGGATAAGATTATGATGATGACCGGGGGGATGGTGGGACAGGCGGCAGGGGGGGGTGTCCAACCAGAAGAGGTGTCAAGTGGAAGGAAGGAGGCTGTATTGGTTATATGGTTATGCAACGGACGGTTCATCCATCATGACAGAACATGACTGCTGGTGGCTGGCTAGGTGTCAATTTCCGGGAAGGAAAGATTTCGATTTGCAGAAACTTTCATTATCTCGAATTCTAAAAATCCGATTTGGAAACTGAAAATAGTTCTAAAAAGCACAAAAACTGAGCTTTTTAGTCATATAAATTTTGTTAATGATCCACAAAAATTTCTAGTCGAAAACGACCACAAATTAGAGGATACTAGATAAATCCCAAAAAAAATTGGCATCTCAAAATTTCAATCCCAATTATTTCGAATTCTAAAAATCCGTTTTGGAAACTAAACGTAGTTCTGAATAACTTAAAAACTCAGCATTTCAGTCATATAAATTTTGTTAATGATCGACAGAAATTCCCGATTGAAAAAGACCTAAACTTAGAGAATAACAAAAAAAACCAAAAAAAAGGCTTTCAAATTTTCAAACTCTTGTAGGTCGAATTCGAAAAATCCGTTTAGAAAACTGAAAATTGACTCAGAAAACTCAAAACCTCACATATCTGAAAAAAAAACACAATTCCTGACAGGGGAATAGGCCAAACGGGGGTCCATCAATCATGACAGAACATGACCCTCTGGTGATGGGTTTTGTGGATAGGTGTCAATTTGCGAAAATGTCAGTTAACCCAATTTTTGGGAGCAAACGTAAAATGCAAATTTGACAGAGTCGAAGTTAAAACAAAGATTTTGCGAGAAAATTTGAGAAAATTCACTATTTTGAAAAATCCAAAAAAAAAATTCGCGTTGCTTGAATTTCGGTATATTTTGACCGGAATTTTCTTTCTGATTATCATTTAATCAAGTTCAAATTTTGAACTTTCCAAAACTATAATCAGTTTTCAAAACGGATTTTTGGAATTCGAGATAATTAAGTTTGAAGTTTCGAGATGCAATTTTTTTTTTTGGATTTTTTGAGTATCCTCTGACTTTTTGGTCTTCTTCGATTGGTTATGTGTCAATTATAATTAAATGTTATATGACTAAAAAGCTGATTTTCTAAGCGTTCCAAAACAACTTTCAATTTGTGAAACGGATTTTTAGAATTCGAGATGAACAAGATTGAAATTTTGAGATATATAAATTGTTTTGGAATTTTTCAATGGAATTTTTTGAAAGTTGAATTTCTGAGCTTCCCAAAACAATGTTCAGTTCTCTAAACAAATTTTTAAAACTGGAAATAAATTTAATGATTGAAATTTTGAGATGCTATTTTTTAATGAATTTTCAAGGTACTCCCTAAATTTTGGTCTCTTTCAATTGGAAATTTTTATGGACCAACAACAAAATTTATATCACTAAAAAGCTGAATTTCTGGGCTTTCCAAAACTATTTTCATTTTTCAATACCAATTTTCAGAATTCGAGTTACAGTAGTTTAAAATTTCGAATATTGATGCTAATTTTTATTTTCAAATTTTTCTGGTATTCTCTAAATTTCTATTCCCAACAAAGTGTCAAGAAACTTTGAAAAAAGATGAAAAATGGGGGAAAATTCTTTCTCAACCTGTCAAAAGATCTGGTAGATAAGATACATCTTTGGGTTTCCGCCAAAAAAGAGACAGTAATTTAGGGGGAAAAGAAGAAAAGGAACAATTATACGATCTGTCATTGTAGTAAGTATCCCCACCGTATAATGGAAATTATATCAAGATGAGGAGAGGGAAACGAGGGAATTGGGGTCTTCATATTGCATAATTCTGATCCCCCTACTCCCATCAGGAGGAATCTGATGGATGTCTGGGAACCGGGAATTCTAATTGTAAGGATCCCAATTTCAAAGGGGGACTAACATCTGGTCACAGCTTTATGTCTTGTAACTTTTTTTCTAGACAAGGTACAGTATTGTAAATAGAAACATTTCGTAGCTTTTGAGATTTTCAATCTTATCCATTTTATTTGGTCAAGAAAAATAGGTCCTAAAGAAAAGTTAAGGGTCTTTCAGTTTTTGAGCCGTTGTTCGTCCGTTCGTAATCCGTTTGTACACCGTTCGGCCCACAATTAAGCTAGATTACATCTGAATAGTTGGAATTTTTACGCTAGGAGCTTCAAGATGAGTATAATCATGACCTACTTTCCTTGATTTTCAAATTTCGGACCCCCTATGCGCCTTTAATGTCAAATTTCAAATTTAAAGGAACATAGTCGTGTTTATACTTATTTTAAAGCTCTTAACGTCAGAAATTCAGAAATACAAATAAAAATAACCGATTGTTGCTGTATATATCAATAGGGCGCGTTTTCTGCATCCTAGAGATAATCTCCGAAGGGATGAGGGTACGGTAATTATAGTATTTCTCCGTATTTTCTGCATATTTCCTGTTGATACCATAATTATAGGATATGGGGTAGTTTTGTATAGAACAACCTAGATTTAGAATTTTCGGAAAATTGATACAATTGAAAATAAGGATTAATTTTAGGGGAGATTCTGGAAGTTTCAGGTTTACTAGAACAAGAAAACGGAGAGAAAATAGTCTGAAATTTTTAGAATTTTTGAAATTTATTTTAGAATTTTCAGAATTAAAAAAGTCCAAAAAAAATACTCACGACGCATTTCCATAGTGAAGACCCTCATCGTCGGCTGGCTCGATGACTAAATCGTCGTCTTCGGGTCGTGGAGACATCTGGAAAATTCTAGAAATTAAGAAGTTTTTAGGATACACAGACACACAGACAGACGAAAATTGAAAAAAAATTGAGAAAAATCTATGAAAAATGAGCGATTTTAAGATTAGCGATTATCGAAAAAGGGGCGGGGCCTATTTTTTGAATTTATGGTTTTCAGATGTTTCTTTGAAAAATGAGGTTTATAAGAGAAATTAGAAAATCTAGAAAGCTTATTAAAAATTCAGTGAAGCAGAGGAAATATATAAACAGGTGAATTTTTTATCATTTGAAAGATGAAAAAAAGTCAAGGAATCAAAAATATTTTTAGGAGAAAAAAAATTCAGAAATTTAAAGAAGACGAAAGAATTGAACATTGAAAATTTCAACACATAAAGTACGAAAAATACGAAATTCCAAAAAACAAAAAGGTCACTAATTTCTAAAATTCCAAGGATAAACTGCAAAATGCGCTCCATTGCTAAAGCGACTATCTGTCAGATGATGGCAATGGAATTTTCGAATTGCTCACGTTGAGGGCTTCAAAATGAGTATAAACACAGCTGTTTTCCTTTAAAGTCGAAATTTGGCATTAAAGGCGCATAGCGGGGTCCGAAATTTGAAAATGAAGGAAAGTAGGTCATGGTTATACTCATTTTGAAGCTCTTCACGTGAGAATTTCAAAAATCTAAATATCACATCAGTCTAGCTTAGCTGTCGGCCGAACGGGCTAGAAACGGACCACCAGCGGACCAAAAACGTGCCAAAAACTGGAGAACCCATAACATTTTTCAGAATCAATATATTTGAATGAACCAAAATGGAAATAATAGAAAAACGCAAGAGCTTCAAAATGAGTATAAACACGACCATGTTCCTTTAAAGTTGAAATTTGACATTAAAGGCACAATTGAAAACTATCAAAACTTTACAAAATTCCTAGAAATTTCTGAATCTTTGGAATGAAAAAAGGAGAATCCGAAAACTTAAAAATGTCTGAAATTCTCTCCTGTTTTATCTTCTGTTTTTCCCCGATTTCCAACCGAATCCAAAATGGAATACGTATAGAAAAAAGAGAGGAAAGAAGACACACAAAATGACTACTACAAACTCATTTTGCAGTCATCCATCACATTTATTTCTACACGCTTTCATCGTCTTTTTTTCAGATACCAAAAAGATGAAAATGTACTACGACTACTAATTTATTAAATATTCACAAAACTCATTTTCATCCTTTCTAGTACTTTTCAATACTTTTGAAAGAAACAAAAAACTAAAGTTGCGGTTTGGCTGTTTGAATTTTTGAAACTAAAAATTTCTTCGAAATCGCGCATAGAGGGTCCGAAATTTGAAAATCGAGGAAAGTAGGTCATGATTATATGTATTTTGAAGCTCTTCACGTTAGAATTTCAACTATTTAGATGTAACATCAATCTAGCTTAACTGTGGGCCGAACGGTGTACAAACGGATTACGAACGGACGAACAACGGCTCAAAAACTGAAAGACCCTTAACTTTCCTTTAGGATCAATATTTTTTGACAAAATAACATGGAACTGATAGGAAACTTCAAGGGCTTCAAAATGAGTATAAACACGAATATGTTCCTTTAAAGTTGAAATTTGACTTTAAAGGCGCATAACGGGTCCAAAGTTTAAAAATCAAGGAAAGTAGGTCATGATTATACTCATTTTGAAGCTCTTGGCGTGAGGATTTTAACAATCTAAATTTTACATCAGTCTAGCTTAGCTGCCGGTCGTACAAACGGACAAAAAATTGTTTGAATTTTTGAAAGTTTTTGAATTTCTATATTTCTAAATTTTCAAAGAAAAGAGAAACTCTCAAACTTTCAAAAAAAATAATTTGATTTTTAAAGCACTTGTCTCGTTTTCTAACACTGATAATTAAAATATAATTATCTTTAGCGATAATAAAAGTAATTAGATTTTCCGGTGTCCGCGAAAATTAGTCAATAATTTACGCAGCTGGATATTCGAGATCTGATTAGGTGTGAAAAATTATTCTAGTGGGTCTTGACAAGAAAATTTGAGAAAAAAGACATTTTGAATTTGAAGAAATCAAAGTTTCCGAGAATCCGAAATTCCAAAAGAAGAATTGGGGGAATACCAGAAACACTCTAATAGATCGCCACCCGGACCGTCAACTTTGAGCCTATATATCTCACTTCTTTTGAAAGATATCAAAACATTGTCAACTAATAAAATGTTTATCATAATATCAGCAATATTTTATCAGTTAATCTCTTTTTGATACCTTTCACAGAAAATGAGATACATGGGCTCAAAATCATGAACTTCCAAAAATTCTAAACTTCTCCACAATTTGAACTTTTTAGAATCTCCAGAATCCTTAAAATTTTCAGAAAACCTGCAGAAACTAAAAGCAAAAAAAGAAGGATCTCTAGTTCCCGAAATAGTGTAAACTTTTGAGAGATTTAGAGAAATAGGGAGAGAAAGAAATTTCAAGAAGAAGAAGAAGTGGTCCTTAAGTTTCAAAAGGACCTGGAGAGAGAGAGAGAGAGAGGCAGAGAAAAAGAGAGTGTGAAAATTTGTTTATGAAGGTCCGTCCACCCCTGCTGTTGAAAGAAATGAATGGATGTGGAAGGGATGGAAGAGAGGATTAGGATGGATGGAGGACAGAAGAGAACAAGTTTATGAAAAGTAGAATTAATCGAAATATAAAGTTTGGAAATCCTAAGAATATAAATTCAGAAACTTCCCAAAATTCTGAAAATTCGGAAAATCCTAAACTCCAAAACTTCAAATTCCCAAAATTCAGAAAATCCCGATTTCATAGAAATTCCAAAAAACAAAGACTTCTGGAATCTGGAATGTGGGAAAAATTCATAAATTTGAAAGTTCGAAAAAATCGAAAACATCTAAAGATCCAACATTTTCAGTAACTCTAGGTCAAATTCAAAAAAATCTTTAAAGTTCGACATTTTCAAAAATTCCAAAATCTCGGAATATCCGAAAATACGAAAAAGTCCGCGAGTTCGAAAAATCTCAAGAATCCGAAAAAATGCAGAAAATCACAATTTTGAGAAATCCCAAAAAATCGAAAAATCGAAAAATTTCAATTTTTTGAAAACTTGAAATTCTGAAAAAAAACCAAATATTTCAAAAACAAAACCCGATGCCTAGAACAATGGACCACCAGAAAACCCGAAAAGCTAAAAACCCCATCAGAGAAGAATATTAGATTCCCTGGGATGGTGAATCCCAGAAAATCTGATTATTCCTTCTTCTTCTTCTTCCTAATTCTAATACTAAGGACCTAAAAATAAGACACATCTGGTGGGTAAAGAATGGAGGAAAAAGCAGAAGAAGAGGAATACCACCTCTTCTAATTAGAATTCTCTCTTCTGCAGAAGGAGAAGAAGAAGACGTCTTCTGGAGTAGAAGACGTGAAGAAGAAGACATCAACATAGCAGAAGTGAGAAAGGAAAAAAGAGGAGGTGTGAAAAGAAAAGGATTCTGACGACTTCTGTTAACACCAAGGTGTCTCCAGAAGTCGGATTTGTTGAGAATCATGAAAATTTTCGAATTTAGAATTTTTGGAATTTTGGGATTTTGGGGATTTCAGAAGTGGCATTTTGAGGGGTTTTCAGGTTTTGAGATTTTCAGAATTTCCAGAATTTTCTGGAATTGAATTTCTTAAAATTCTGAATTTCTGAATCCCTGAATTTCTGCATTTCTGAATTTCCAGAATTTTCTGGAATTTCTGCATTTCTGAATTTCCAGAATTTTCTGGAATTTCTGAATTTCTGAATTTCTGAATTTCTGAATTTCTGAATTTCTGAATTTCTGAATTTCTCAATTTTTGAATTTCTTAAAATTCTGGATTTCTGAATTTCTGAATTTCTCAATTTTTGAATTTCTGAATTTTTGAATTTCTCAATTTTTGAATTTCTTAAAATTCTGGATTTCTGAATTTCTGAATTTCTCAATTTTTGAATTTCTGAATTTTTGAATTTCTCAATTTTTGAATTTCTTAAAATTCTGGATTTCTGAATTTCTGAATTTCTCAATTTTTGAATTTCTGAATTTTTGAATTTCTCAATTTTTGAATTTCTTAAAATTCTGGATTTCTGAATTTCTGAATTTCTCAATTTTTGAATTTCTGAATTTCTGAATTACGAATTTCAGAATTTCTGAATTTCTGAATTTCTGAAATCCTGAATTTTCTGAATTTCTGGATTTCGGAATTTCGAGATTTTTCAGAATTTTGTAGAATTTCTAGATTTTCTTTCTAGATTTTTGAAATTTTGAAATTCCAGAATTTTCGAAGTTTTGCGGAATTTTGAATTTCTAGAAATTTTTGATTTTTTTTTGGATTTTTTAGAATTGTTTAAATCCCAGAACGTTTGATTTTTGGAATTTTCAGAATTTCTGAGTTTTTGGGTTTTTGGGATTTTTTGGAATTTTGGGGTATTTTTTAAAATATTTAGAACTTTAAAATTTTTGAAGGCGCGAATTCAAATTTTCAAAGATTTCAAAATCTTTAAATGATTTACGCAGAAAAAAAACGGAGAAGGAAAAATTGGGATAGGATTAAGAGAAGACCTGATGAATGGCCGGATCTGGTCCAGGGATTATTAGAAAATACAAAAAGAGGATTAGCGCGGGAATTTGAATTTCTTCCTTATTTTTTTGAAGAATGAATATTTGAAATGACAGGACAAAGAGAACAAATTTAAAGAGTTTTATTGGATTTGAAAATTTTTCAAAAATTAAAAAAAAAACTTTTTTGAAATTTCTGAATTTTTGAACATTTTGCATCTTTGGAAGTTCAGGAATTTTCGGCTTTTTTTAAACTTCTGAATTTATGTAGTTTGGAATTTGAACATTTTTTAATATTTCTAAAATTTTTTTAAATTTAATTTTTTTATTTCGAAGTCCAAGAATACAAAAAAAACCCCAAAATTTCAGAAATTCCAAAAAATCCAAAAACTCCAAAATTCCAAAAAATTGAAATTTCCAAATATCCTAGGAAT